CACACTGACAGCTTGTGTGCTTGCTCTCTCTCTCAAAATAAATAAATAAATAAATAAATAAATAAATAAATAAATAAACCTTAAAAAATAAAGTTAAAAATAAAAAATAAAGTCTGCTAATTAAAAAAACAACACAAACAAACAAACAAAAAACGACCTTCCCCAAAGGATGTCTAAGACACCGACTTCACTGGAGAATTCTTCCAAACACCTAAGAAAGAAAGAATACAATCTCATAACACTCTTACAGCAAACAAAAAATAAAAAAGGAGGGACCTCTTCTCTTACTCATTTCATCAGGTCAGCATAACCTTGATATAAAGCTTGTCAAAGACGTTACAAGAAAGGAAAATTACAGAGCAATTTTTCTCATGGACATAGATGCAATCCTCCAACATTTATTATTGGAGTTCTAATACACAGGATGTCGAAAGCCAGTACAAAAGCATGCCTCTCCCACCCTAACAATGAGAAAAAGTGGTATAATCTACCCAATCATAACTTTTGAACCCACCAGAAAATTGAGGTTGTAGGACAACCAAATGAATTAAATTTCAAAGAATAACAAGTCCCTCCAAGGACAGATGGGACTCCAAACTATTTTACTTTGGCAGAACATAGGAGGAGAAGGAAACTACCACACAAGCAAGAAGAAATACAGCTAAAATTTTAACTATAGTAGACTGCATGTGGGGTAATATGTCCGTTTAGAATAACTAGGAGCTCAAAACACAAGGGGAATTTACACTCACTTTCATGCTCTTTTCCATGGGTCTCCCACCCAAGAGAATGGGGGCAGAGCAGAGAATGGGCAGAGAGCCCTTTTTCGTGATACAGGTGCACAGAAGGGATAAGCTGTCACTCCAGCACAGGAATAAAACCATGCTACCTTCTCTAAACTCTCCTCTCACATGAGGAAATGACCTTAAACCTCTGAGAGAGGGTTCCAAAAACATCCCATTCTAACGACAAGGCAGTAATTGTTTCTGGGGGTGAGATAGACGCAAAATGATCTTACTCATGGTAAGGTAAAAATCAATCAATCAATCAATCAATCAATCAATCAATCCAACTCTCTTGGACCCAGGATCCTACACCAGTACAAAGCAGAAGGGAGCCAGCTCTAGTGAGAGTCAGGAATCTCCCTTTCTTCCATCATCTGCCACAGATACAAGGCAGAGTTTGGCTGCCAAGAAGAGAAGAAGGAACACTGAGAAAGACCCATTCCCAAGGCAAATGGACTGTATATTAGAGAATGCCTGTATCTACCATGAGCTTAGGACTGAGTAACAACTTTCTACTGCTAAGAGAAAGATAAGAGTAGGGAGAGAGACTTCTCTCCGTGGCACAAGCAAGCAGAGGCAGATGAAAGCACAGGATGTAGTACAATGAGAAAACCTTCCAGTAGTCCAGAACCCTTTCTAAGCACAAGATTACAGCAGCCCACCAAATTTGAAGCCTATCGTACACTGAAGCTATTGACAGTAGTAACAAAACCCAAGCCTAGCTTGACCCCCACTGTACTGACTTCCATACTCAGTAAGCCTCCATACTCACTTGAACAAAATTGCCAATCTACTTGACCTAATTGACACTTACAGAATACCCAGAGCAGAATGCTCATTCTTTCCAAATACATATGGAATATTCAACAAGTAAATAACCTGAACTGCCCTGAGTATATTTTTTACTTAACTTTTTGATTAAAAATGCTCCCACCAAGAAAACTCCAGGCCCCAGTGACTTTATTGGGAATCCTACCAAATATTTAAGAAGGAAAAGTATTAATTCTATACAAATACTTCCAGAAAATAGGAAAGAGGGAACATTTCCCAACTCAGTTTATGAGATCAGCATTACCTGATAAAATCAGACAAAGTTTTATAAAACTATACACCAATATTTTTCATGAAAATATCCACAAAATCTTCCACAAAATATTAACAAATTGAATAAAAAATGTACATGTGGATAATGCATCATAACTAAATGGAATTTATCTCAAGAATGTAAAATTGGTTCAACATTCAAAACCCATCAGTGTTGTTCACCATATCAACATGAGCATCTCTACAGACACAAGAAAAGTATCTCACAAAATTCAACATCCATTCATAATAAAACTCTGAGAAAACAAGGAATAAAAGAGAGCTTCCTCAACCTAATAGAACACATCTATATACCACTGCAGTAGAGGCACTAGCCAGTGCAACAAGACAAAAAAAAGAAAAAAGAAAAGGCATACAGACTGTAAAGAAGAAGTAAAATTGTCTTTATTCACATATGACACATGTGCTTGGAAAATCCTATGCAACCTACAAAAAGTGGTACTATAACTAACAAGCAAGTTTAGTGAGGTCACAAGATACAAGGTAAATATACAAATATCAATCATGTTACTGCATACTGACAACAAACAAGTGGAAAATGAAATGAGAAAGAATTTATAATAGCATTTATAATAGCATCAAGAAAACAAGAAATACTTAGAGGAAAATCTAAACAAAATATGTGCAAGGTTTGTATACTGAGTTATAAAACACCAACAAGAGAAAATAAAGAAAATAGAAATAAAGAGACAAAATGTGTTCATAGGCAGAAAATTCAGTGTTGTTAACATGTCAATTCTCCCAAAATTGACCTACAGATTCAACATATTCCCAATCCAAACCCCAGTAAACTTTTTGTAGTAATTTGCAACATGATTCTAAACTTTAAATGGAAAGACAAAGGATCTGGAATAGCCAAAACAATTTTGAAAAAGAGAAACAAAGCTGGAAAACTAAATATCTGATTTCAAGACTCACTTTAAAGTTACAAAAATCAAAACAAATAGATCAGTGGAACAGATTAAAGAGCCAGAAACAGTTGTGTGTGTGTGTGTGTGTGTGTGTGTGTGTGTGTGTTACTAAGTTAATTTTCAACAAAAGAACCAACGAAATTAGTGGAGAAAGGATAGGTGGTCAACAAATAGGTAATGGAAATAGGTACAATATTGGACATCTATCTATCTATACCAAAAAGTTAACTCAAGGGGTGCCTGGATGGCTCAGTCAGTTGAGCATCTGACTTCAAGTTCAGATCATGATCTCACAGTTGGTGGGTTCAATCCCCATGTCGGGCTCTGTGCTGACAGCTAGCTCAGAGCCAGGAACCTGCTTTGGATTCTGTGTCTCCCTTTCCCTCTGCCCCTCCCCTGCTTGCACTCTCTCTCTTTCTCTCTCTCTCTCTCTCTCTCTCTCTCTCTCTCTCTCTCTGAAATAAATAAAACATAAAATTTTTTTTAATTAACTTAAAATGCATCACATATATAAATGTAAAAACTAAAACCATAAAACTTCTAGAACCAACCTTAGGAGAAACTTTTTGAGGCCTTGGGTTAGGCAAAGATTCATAGGCACAGCACAAAAACACAAATCACAAAAGAAGAAACTGATAAAAAAAAATTGCCATCAAAATAAAAAAAAGTTTTGCTCTTTGAAACATCCAGTTAAGGAAATGAAAAGATGAAGCCACAGATGGACAGAAAATATTTCCAAGATGCTTATCTGATAAAAGACTTGTGTCATATATAAAGAATACTTACAATTCAACAATGAAATAACAATTAAATATTTTTAATGTTTATTCATTGTTGAGAGACAGAGAGAGACAGAGCGCAAACATGGGAGGGGCAGAGAGAGGGGGAGACACAGAATCCGAAGCAGGTTCCAGGCTCTGAGCTAGCTGTCAGCACAGAGCCTGAGGCGGGGCTCGAACTCACGAGCTGTAAGATCATTGCTTGAGCGGAAGTCGGACGCCCAACTGACTGAGCCACCCAGGCGCCCCAACAAACAATTTTTTTTTAACGGGCAAAAGATTTGCACAAACTACTTCATCAAAGAAGGTATTAACATATAGTAAGATGCTCAATATTAGTCATAAAGGCAGTGCAATTAAAACCACAACAGGACATCATTATGCTCCTACCAGAGGAGTGTAATTAATAAGTAAAAATGAATTAATAAAAACTGGCATCAAGTGCTAGCAAGGATGCAGAGCAACTGAAACCCTCATAACTGTTGGTGGAAATGCAAAGCGATAACAGCCACTCCGGAAAAGTTTGGCAGATTCTTACAGAATTAAACATACACTTAACCATGGAACTCAGGATTTCCACTCCTAGGTATTTATCCAAAAGAAAAGAAAGATATTCAAGCAAAAATCTGTATCAGAATGTATATATCCGCTTTATTCATAATCTCTATAACCGAAAACGGCCCACAACTATAACTGAAAATGCCCAGCAACTAATGAACGGATAAACAAACAGTACATCCAAACACTGAAATATTACTCAGCAATCAAAAGGAACAGAGTTAGTGAAATACCAAAATGTGAATAAATCTCAAAAGCCTTATGCCGAATGACAGAAACCAGACACACAACTTTACACACTGTACGACTCCATTTATAAGACATTCACACAAAAAGATCTCCTGATCAATCTCTGCCTCCAAAGAACTTGGCACGTTAGAAAATACTCAGGAAATGCCGGGTGGAGCAATAAAGTAAGAAATCACTGCAGAGAGGACAGAGTGCAAGAAGGTGACAGATTGCCGGAAAGCAAAAAGGCACCGGGGCGGGGGGGGGGGGGGGGGGGGGGTCCAAACCCACCCACAGGACGAAAAATGTGAGAGAAGACGTGGTCCAACGCATCGCTACTGATTCCAGCAGCTTAAAAAATTAGACCTTGGAAAGGGCTGCAGTATGAATGAAGAGCCTCGGCGCTCTCCGGCCTAAAGAAAGGCGGGATGCGCCCCACCCTCCTTTAAAAATCCACTACACCACGCGCGAGGCTGAGCCGGTGGAGTTTACACCTGCAAGGGAGGTTCCTCGGTGCCCGGGGGCCGAGCTGGGGAGACCAGAGACGGGCTCCGGCTTGGGTGAGCGGGGTGCAGGAGACCAGGCATCGCCGCGGCCCCGCCCGTCTCCATCCTTCCCCACTCGGCCTCACTCACCCAGGCCTGCCGTTCCAACTGAGCGTACAAATTGGAGCCCTTGAGCTTTTGGACTATCTGGGCAATAACGAGAGAAAGATCCGACTCCTCCTGCAACATTTCCCCTGCCCTAGCCCGCCAAGCCGCGGGGACAGGCTGGCGCGGAGAGAACGGACTACGGGGTCCCACTCGGGGCCAGTGACACTTCTCCGGGACCTTCAGACGCCGGGACTCCTTCAGCGGGCGTTACCAGGCAACTGCCGGGCCGTGAGTCCGTTCCTCTCTGGTCCCCCCGGCGGCTCAAGGTCCCGGCGCTTGCGTTCCGCTGGCGGAAAAACGTCCCGGTTGGGGGTAGTTTCTCATGCCATTGTTCCTGCTTATTGTACCTCTTCCAGAGCTGCAGCGCCTCTGATGCGCAAGGGGAACTCAGAGTCGTGTATTTTTGTGTTTCATTATAATGGATCCTTTCCTTTCCACCTTTCAGTCTCTGAAGAAACAGGGCTGTGCACACAGTTACGTGGAAAAATTACTCCCAAGGATTATCAGGTTCTTGGGTGAGGTGCTTACATTTCAGAACTCAGTTTCTATCTCTGTAAAATAATACCAGTTCACAAGATGTTGTGATGATCGGCTGAGGTAACAATTGTGAAGGTGGCTAGTACTTCATTTTCTTTCCACTTCTCCTGTTTCTATTCTCTGGGGTCTTATACCGGGAATAAATAGACAACATCTTTTCATCAAACAGCTACAACTTAACCAAGAAGCATTTATTGATAGGTTTTCTGTGAAGCATTGGCAATTCAAGGACGGCTGAGACATTGCCCCAGTCCAAGGGATGTGCCATCGAGATTCCTCTTCGTCCATGTATTCATGTATTCATTCATTCATTCATTCATTCAATCATTTATTCAAAATCTGTCCAGCTTTCAAAAAGAAAATCCATTCAGCTTTCAATTATTGAGCATTTACATACAAGAAACTGTGTGGGCACAAAGGTAAATAAAACTGGGTTCTTGCCTTCAAAGAAACATATCAAAGATTTTTAGTAGATCTAGAAAAAACTGATTTAACTAATTGAATGGCATTCCCAAAGACAGCTGGAAAAATCTCTATGGAATAATAGCAACATTAGAATAACCTCACCAAAACAATCCAGAATTAATTTCAAATGTGTTTATGCATGTACCTTAAGCAAAGCAAAGATTCCAAAGAAACAGACCAAGATTACTGCAAAAACTACTCTAGCCTAACTACATTAAACTTCAACGGAATATTGAATCAGATCCTCTGATTCAATAGGCTTCTTGTAGGACCTACTAATCTGCATTTCTGGGGTGCACGCTCCAAGGAGATTGTGATGCTGATGGTTCAAGAACTATGTTCTGAGTAGCAAAGGACTAGAGCAGGTACATGATAGAAATTCCACATGACAGAAAAAGGCCTGGACCTTTGGAATTTCTGCACCACGCCCTGGCATTCCTAATACTACTGTTCAGAATATTGTAATGGTAAATACAGATTCCAAATAACCCATTTGGTCACGTTTGTTTATTAAAAACAACTTTGGAAAGAGGCAGGAAAAAGAAGTATGTAAAAGCAATTAATGACAGACTCCACAAAACATGTCGTTTCTCTACAAACATTCCCCCGCAACTCTGAATTTCTCCAACTTGTAGATGAGTAAATGTCCCCAACCCTTTAGAGCCTCTCCATCCCAACACCCAACCCATGCATAAATCTCCAGCACAAACGTCACTTTGAATAGAAAAAGAAAACCATGGAGAGAGTTCTTTTGAGGCTGAAAGGGGTGAGGTGATTAATAATTAAAGAGATAAGAATGCTTAGGTTGAGGGGCACCTGGGTGGCTCAGTCAGTTAAGTGTCTGACTCTTTATTTCCGCTTAGGTCATGATCTCATGGTTCATAAGATGGAGACCAGGGTCGGCGTAGAGCCTGCTTGGGTCTCTCTCTCTCTCTCTCTCTCTCTCTCTCTCTCTCTCTCTCAAAATAAATAAATAAACTTTAAAAAAAAGAATGCTGAGGTTGAGAAGGGTCTTAAAGCACATAAAGGAAAGAAGATGAAACTGTGGAGCAGAAGAAAGCCATGGTACCTAGAGCCAGAAAATAACGGAGCTCCCTCTGCTATGGACCCCAAAATTGCATAAGTCCCTTCCCCTGTCAGAGTTTCAACTTTCTTGTCTGTAACAGGAAGGTAAATACCTACCTGAGGGGACACTATGGGGAAAGATGTACCTAGTATTAAAATATCAGTAAATATTAATAAATATTGAATTTGAGATGAGCAAATAAAAATAATGTCCAATGGTATTGACAAGGGAATGGAAAGTAAATAAAGGTAGCAATGTATGTGAAAGTGCCGAGTACAATTTTTTGCACAGATAGAGGCTTTAAAAGTTTTTTCTAAAGGCGTGCCTGGGTGGCTCAGTCGGTTAAGTGTCTGACTTCGGCTCAGGTCATGATCTCACTATTACGAGCTCGAGCCCCACGTAGGGCTCTGTGCTGACAGCTCCAAGCCTGGAACCTGCATTTGATTCTGTGTCTCCCTCTCTCTCTCTGCTCCTCCCCCACTCATGTTCTGTCTCTCAAAAGTAAATGTTAAAAAACAATTGTTAAGTTTTTTTTGTTTTGTTTTTTTTTCTGAGGGGAGAACAATTTGCAGTCTTTAAAGCAGCAATTAAGAAGTTGGGATTTGATTTGGAAGACCTGCCCAAGCAAAATAAAAACAAAAATTCTTAATCCTAGTATTGAAGATTTGTTTCTTACATACATAGAAGCAGGTGTGTTGGGTTATAATTCAATTCTAGAATGCCCTCTGTTCTCTTTTTCCAATTCAATTTAACAAAACTTTTCAGAACACCTGCTCTGTGCTAAGAAAGGCAAGGAATACAAAGATGAGTAAGAAATGGTCCTTTCTCCCAAAAAATTCTGTCTCAAAGAGATAGTGAGGCCAGCACAAAAAGAGCTACAGTGGTAGACAGATCCCTTTAGACTCCTGTGTTTCTAGAAATTGTATTATTTTAATTATTTTGACTATTTATTTTTGAGAGAAAGAGAGAACGGGAGGGAGAGGGCAGGGAGAGAGTGAGACACAGAATCTAAAGCAGGCTCCAGGCTCCAAGCTGTCAGCCCAGAGCCAATGCGGGGCTCGAACTCACAAACCGTGAAATCATGGCCTGAGCCGAAATTGGACACTAAACCAACTGAGCCACCCAGACACCCCAGAAATTGTATTAAAGTCATTGTCCCTGTAGAAACAGAAAGTGTAGATTTCCATCTCCACCACACAATGAGAACTTTGCCTTAGAAATCCTTACTCTACTGAGAGTGGGAGGGAATTGGGAAAACACTCTTGTTCTGCCATTTTTTTTAAGTTTATTTATTTTGAGAGAGAGAGAGACAGAGAGACAGAGAGACAGAGAGAAATCCCCAGTAGGCTTCGAGCTGTCACCATGCAGAGCCCCACATGGCCCTATCCCACTGACCATGAGATCATGATCTGAACCAAAATCAAGAGTTGGATGTTTAACCCACTGAGCCACCCGGATGCCCCATCTGACACTTTAGAGTGAACTATGACCCAACCTAATGGACGAATAACAAAATGAATGCAATCTCATCTGAGTAGTTAAAACTATACAAACAGGGGGTGCCTGGGTGGCTCAGTCGGTTAAGTGCCCCACTCTTGATTTCAGCTCAGGTCATGATCTCACAATTGGTGGGATCGGGCCATGGAGGGCTGTATATTGTCAGCACGGAGCCTGCTTAGGATTCTCTCTCTCCCTCTCTCTCTCTCTACCCCTCCCCTGTTCTCTCTCTCTCAAAATAAATAAATAAACATTTAAAAAAAAAACTATACAAAGAGAAACAAAAGTAAAATAAATGCAGATTGAATTCTCCTCAAAAGCCCCTCAAATTCAAAGCAAAGGCACTTCCGGACCAACATGTGTAAAGGTTTGCCTTTCTCAGATCTGCTCCGCTTTGATTTATTTTGTATATAACATTGTGACAGATTTCACTGTGGGCAAGAGGGTGGGAGGAAACCACTGACCAGTCGCGCCATCTGAGCAAAAACGAGGACCACATCAAAAACACCCTGTGTATTTGTGAGTTCGAGCCCCGTGTCAGGCTCTGCACTGATGGTGTGGAGCCTGCTTGGGATTCTGTTTCTTCCTCTCTCTCTCTCTCTCTCTCTCTCTCTCTCTCTGCCCCTTCCCTGCTTGCTCGCTCTCAAAAATAAAAAAAAATAAACTTGAAACAAACAAACACAAAAAAACCTTGTGAGCCGAACACAAAAATGAGGCTTGCATAAACTGCAGAATCCACAATGAAAGTATTTTCAGCTATTGTTTCAGGAGACACTGCTATGAGCATGCTGTACTAGAATAGACTCAATTTTATGTTGTCAAGAGCCTACTTAAAATAAATAGCAAGTATTCTGTGTGTTGCATGTACCACAAATGCCACAGGCCTCCTGTCTGGTAACAAATGAGCTCATCGTGATACCAGTTGTCTGTCACCGGATAGTTAGCCCCCATATGCCAGCACAGGATCTCACACTCCTCTTCAAAGTCTCTTCCTGATACTTCTGGGAATCCTCAGGAAGTGGCATTACGTGGGCTTAGGAAAAAGTCTGTGATCTGCCCTGCCTGCTTTCGTGGTATCCAACCCCTCAAAGCTACTGTCCAGGGTGCTGCTTCTTGGTGCTCTGATCGCTACAAAAGCCCAGAGTTGCTTGAATCCCAAGGCTCAGAAAAACCCTCAAGAACAAAGCCCCTTGTGATTCTGTTTGCCACCTCTCTTTACAAGGAGGTCAGATCTGGCTTCTGAATCCAAGCTGAATATCAGAGCATGCTATTGGAGGAAAGCGAATTTTGCTACCCCAAAGTATGTCTTTAGGCATAAAGATTATTTTGACCTAGGCATTTAGCCAGCAGATTCAGGAAAAGTCCTTGACTCAACTGCTTAAGTTTGTATTGAAAGGGGACCTGTACCAGGAAGAGAGCTATAACAGAGATATCTTTTTCTCTAAAAAATTTATCTGCATATGAGGACAACCTTTGTTTCCTAAACATCTTCTCTGCCTCCCTGTGAATGATATTC